GCTATAGCATGATATACGCAGAGGATCATGAGTAGCTAATGAGTGTAAAAATATCTTATAGCTGCCGTCCATGGCAGCTTCTTATAATGTTATATATTAAAATATACTGTAGCTCTGCTTTGACCTCCAGTCCCGATATAGAATGGACCCCACTTCTTCCTTTACCGTGGGTATCGTAAGAAGCGACTAAGAGAACTTAATAGTCGAGGGATGGGCAACATCTCTTAAAAAATCATCAAAAGCCTAACTGCGGTTGCCAACCCGCCTGCTCAGTGTGACAACTACTGGAAAAACCTCCCTTTCAGGAGAGGCCTATGTTCAGCAGTGGGTAAATAATGATGATGACGATGGTGATCACTCTGTCTCTGTAAACTTTGGTAGATGCTCAGATAAAATAAATAATATAATAAATAAATAAGCTATGACAGATGACTGGATGAATAAACAAAGTCGCATCATAAACGTTCTTTTATACCATTTTGATAATTTTTTTTTTATACATCTTAGAATGGCAAACAAGCTGACGGCCCACCTGATGGAAAGTGGTAACTGTCGCCTATAGACATGAGCAGTACCTTGGACATAACAGAGTATACTGTTTCGCCCATGATACTCCCCATGCGTTGCCATTCCTGAGGACTCAGGTGTTATTCCTCTGTACCCTGTAAATTCACGCCATATCCCACCCTTCAAACCGAAACACAGCCATGCAAACAAAACTGCTTCACGGTAGAAACACGAATGGGACAATTCAAGCTATCCAAAGTACCCAAGCAATTAACTTTTTGATCGTGAGAAAGTATCTACTATTCGATTAACAATAATTTCAGTCCTAAATTAAGGTCAATAAAATATAATTAATTGTAACTGATACCTTAGGCCTAGTAGAGTACAACTCCGATTTTTAGATCTCAAATGTTATCAGATTAAGGTGTATGCGTCATCTGTTTCCTTTTATGTCTATGGCACAAAGTCTTCATGATTTACATACGATTCAGTAAGCTCAAGACTATTTTCTACGGTGTCTGTAATATTTTTCCTACCTATACTTACCTGTAATACCTTACTAATATAATAAAATAATTAATGGTGGTGTGGCCATGGAGAGCCGATATCCATAATTGGGTATACAAGAATCTACCAGATCAGACGCATGGGACCCTGGGTACACTCCAGAAATTGGTTGCTACCTCCTTTACTACTGCAGTATCGAATAAACTCACCTTATGTACCGATATTCTTTCACGTAGGCCGGCCGGCTGAACAGCAGCAGTTCCAATATGGAGAATGCGTAGCAACGTGAACTGTCTCGCACCACAAGACACTAGAATCCACACACTTCACCAGTGAATAGTACAAGTATCCATACAGTTTTTGTCACAACACAAAACAGAAACGTTCAGGGTGCAACTTGAATGAGTGAGTCTTATGCAACAACCACTGCAATACGAAATCGCGACCAAGTTACGGCCCAAACAAATGGTCTGTTAGAATTAAACCACCCAAAAGCCCTTTTTAAGGGATTCTAAGAAATTAATACTTTTGAGTAAAAATAATATGTGTGTATTAACAAGGGCTCTCATTGGACACTGTAAACTAAACAAGCATATGGTCTAACTAGGCTTGTTCAAAAAGAGTTTGCAGATTTTGTTGCAATGAGGAAGAAACGCCGCAGCATTGAATATGTGGCTGCAGCCCACTCATACATAAACGATATATCTCCTTTGGAAAACACACTCTATAGCCTGAGCAGATAAAAAACATCGCTACAAAAAACATCTCAAAATTCCTGTTATCGATAGGAATTGGTAGCGAACTTTAAAGAAGGTTGAGCACAAAAGATTATATGTAGAAAGGTGGCAGAGTCACAGGTTTTTCTTCCTGAAGAAGAATAATTATTTGGAGATATTTAAGAAAAAATAAAATGTGGTGATATTAAAAGAACAATAGAATCGAAAACAATAATTTTTTGAATATTTTTCTGTTTATTACAAAAACACTATCGGCATTTAAAACGATGAATAATTTGCAGACGTCAGAGCTTGTCATGACCACGGCGTGGTAATCTAATCCAATCTAAGTCGAAACGTCGGCAAAGAACCAGGTATGTAGGTACTATTTACCTGTACATTTTTCATGGCATTAAGTCCCGATAGTGCATGTAAAAAAAGCGTCTTATTGTCCGACTTGACCCACTGAAACTGCGTAGAGATATTGCATCTCTGTGTATCTTCTACCGAATTTATCATGGGGAGTGCTATGAAGAATTGTTCGGATTGATACCTGCTGCTGATTTTCACCATCGTACAACCCGATATAAACTACAATTTCATCCCAACAATCTGGTGGTCTTCCACCGTTTTTCAAGACACTTTCTTCCATGCACAACCACTTTTTAGAATCAACTTCTAGTAGCAGTATTTCCGAACCGATACGACAACATAACTTTTAAGAAAAGAGCCACCAGAAGCAATGCCGTTGGTGTTGTGGGTAATCATAGATAGCGGTAGTCACTTACCATCAGGTGAGCCGCACGCAACATTGCCCCCTGTGTAGTAAAAAAAAATTGCCAATTCGAAAATTTAAAAATAAGTTAATTTAATTCTGTTTGTCTGTCTACATATTTATTTCGGGATCACATGAAAAATACTGCGTCCAATTAAATGATTTTCACCCACAAGGGCGTAATTTTTAAGAATACAAATTCTTAAAAATTTTACTTGAAAACTAGTTGTTCTATATTTTAAGATTGTATGTAAAAAAAACAAACATCAACACATGAAAATATTAAAAATAGATTAAAAAATGAAACAACAAAATCAGACCACAGCAAAAATATCGTTGTCCCTTATTACGTACACAAGAAATAAGTTGATTTTTACTTTTCTATTGGCTTTATTGGTTATATTTAGCTAGTAAATCTTAAAGTCACGATGATATGATTCAATAAAATAAATATTTCTTTATCTTTGTACTTAAAGAATTAATTAAACCTCATTAATAAGAAATGAATCGTGAAATAGAATGTTGAATTTATTGAATAAACCAAAAATCAAAGGACCTTATAATTACTCTAACGTTGATTCAGAAATATTTTAGTGGTTCATTACTCGATGTCAGTTAATAGGAATTTTGTAGAAGTAATTCCAGAAAATGAAATCCAAATCTTCATAGTTTGTGTAATAATTATTGCCTATTTATATTCGCTTTGATCTTAATATATTATAGATAATAAATTAAAATTAACAGCGTTATTCTGAAATATCCTTAGCATTATGAATATCAAAGTAAATTGTGATTAGATAGGTTTCTCACAAAGAGACAATTTGCGCCTAATTTACACTAAGCTATTTTTAATCACACACAGTACACACACACACACACGCACACGCACGCGCACGCACGCACGCACTCACGCACGCACGCACGCACGCACGCACGCACGCACGCACGCACGCACTCGCATGCACACGCACTCAAACATTCTTTTTTTTAATTAATTTTATTGTTATTTCTTTTATCTCCTACTATTAATTATTGTTTTTATTTTTATTTTTGGATTGTGTAATTTCAGTTTAATTGTTATTTAAACACATATCGGTAGGGGGCCTGGTGATCTGTACTACAGGTTTTTACCTATTACACACCATCTCCTCACAACAGAGTTCGGTATTATTTTAATTTTCTTTTATCCTAAATACCTCATGTGTAAATTTAAGTTATTTGTGAGGAGACATAAATAAATATATTATATTTTGAATCAGTAACTGAATAAAATACAATGCCATGTGTTCTCGGCATTGCCATGTGCTCCCGGCATAGAAAGGGTCCTTTCCCGTGAGTGTCATAAAAAGCGACCAAGGAACATAATATGAGGGATGAGCTGCAGCGTCTCTCTTTAAACATCAAAGACTAAATTCGGTTGCCAACCCGCGTGCCAAACGCAGCAATTATTGGCAAAACTCCCCTTATGGGGAAGGCCTATGTTTAGTAGTGGACATTTAATGGCAAATATGATATGGTAACCGAATAACTTCGTAGTCATGAAATATTAGAATTTAGGACTGGCAATAGATAAGGTTGTCCAGGTTGTCTGTAAGAGATTGCTTTTAGCGATAAAGCTGCCATTTGTATGTGCACATTCTGTATAAATACTCTTTGTGTATATCTCTATTGTGCGCAATAAAGAGTTTATTATTATTATTTATTATTAAGATGCATACCACCGAGTACATACCTTCCAAAATCCAGCTTCTTATATTTTTCTGACACACGTTTCGCGTTCTATATTTAAATATATAATATAATTTATTATGCCTATCTTCTAATACTGTTACTGGCTGGTTGATGTTAGCAAATTAGCTTTTAGAGTAACATTTTGAACTAGCTATATCCTGTGGTTTTAACCGCTTGAGTCTGTATATAAAATATCCTATGTATTAAATTAGAATATAAGCTACTTGTGTCCCAAATTAAATTTAAATCCCTTTAGTAGTTTTTGCGTTAAATAATAATAAACAAACTTTCGCATTACTATAAATAGGATATATATATTAATAGGATTTCTTTTAATTTTGATTTTTATATATATTTACGATTTCATATTTTTTTATCATAATATTTCCGTAACTGAATGGCAAAAGTATGAAAATAATAATTAGCAATTTCAAACTAAATCGGTTCACCAATAATGAAGATGTAACGAAACTACGAACTTTTACAATTTGGAATGGTAAACAAGCTGGCGGCCCACCTGATGGAAAGTGATAACCGTCATGGACATGACAGATTATACTGTATCGCCCATGATATCCTTCATACGTTGCCATTCCTGAGGACTAAGGTCTAAATTAAATTTGCTCGGATCTGGATACTCCAAGTAGTGCCTTTAGAAGTTCATTGTCGAGATCCTAATAATTCAGGATATACTAACTCAGAGACGGGAAATTGTAAACCTTATCCATTTTGAAGTTGTGATCGAATTGATATTTTCTTTAGTATTAAATTTTGAATAGTATTTATTAGTTAATTAATTAAATTTGTGTTATTACAAAACAATCTTTAATAAAGACGAAGAACGTTAACAAAGACTGTACTTAATTGAGCAAAAGTAGTTATATTATATCAACAAGAAAACCAAACAAAACATCACATAAGCACGGGAATTCTAATCCTTTACACTTTGCCTGCTATCCTTAAAAAACATATAGATGTATCTCATAGCATATACGAGTAAATACAAGTTACAAATTGGTAAATATTATTTAGATAAGAATTAGCAATCCCTTCGTTTGGAACGCATTAACTAATAAACAGTTCCTCAGCTGGAACTGCCTTGTAGATAGCTTCAACTGCTTCGACTACAGCTTCCGATGTAGCGTAGATAGATGGGCCAGCCATTTCTTTCATCACCACTTGCCAATTGGAATTCATGAAATTCAACACTGGATCGCCTGGGAAAATAAGAATTAAAAATTAGACTTAAGAGTCTTCGAAACCACTATGTATGCGTGAAATGAATTATGAAAGTGTAAGAAGCATGAGTATTTGTATGAAGTCTTTGGTACTCAGTTCTCTCTGCCTATCTCGCAAGGATTTGATGTAACTATCGATAGATAATAGATGGTTGATCCATTTCTACACAGTAAGCAAGTGTGTTGTGGAGCTAGTTTAACTCTTAACTGCCTGATGTTTCTCCCAACAAATCAGCATGTGAATGAAAAGAAAAGAAATATAAATATAAATCAACAGAAAGGTAACAAACTAAAGAAACTTTCCTGTTATTGAAATGCAAATACTGAGATAGGAATGGGTATTTATTTATTTATTTATTTATTCATTAGTACAAATATGTGTACATGGCGGACTTAATGCTAAAAGCATTCTCTCCCAGTTAACCATAGGGAAGTGTCAGAATACTCGAATGGGGTACTACTAATTATTGGTATCGTTGTGGAATAGATTTAAAATGAGTACCGTATATCACATGAAAATTTTATGGTACCACATTTAATGGTGATGACAGAAAAGTTAAAAAGCAATCGTTTGTCTTAGTACGGGCATGTTGATTACAAAAATGGAGAAGATATTTTAAGTAAATTATTAAGTATGGATGTCAAATAAGAGTTAGAGAAGGTCTAAAAGGAAATAAACGAACTGTTTAAAAGATGATAATGATACGATAGTAAAATAATTTTAAAGAAAAAATGAATGTAAAAATAATAAAGGGCAAGTTATATGTAGGGTCACTCATGTAGAAAGAATGTCTACTCAAAGGACAAAGATATATACAATACAATTTTTCTCAGTTTATAAATAATAGATAATGTGATAAGTACGCTATTATATATCCTTCATATTTTTAGATAATTTTTGTACAATTCAGATTAAATAATAATAGTAAAATTAATAATAATAGAAAGAGACAGGTAAAAGGAACAAGACTGACTTATGTTGATCATATAAACCGTATACTAAGAGAGAATACAAAAACAGATACGAAAGTGGATTCAGAACACAAGAAAGGTGTATTAGAATCTATACTTCTCTTATCTATTAGCATGTGGCTCTATCCAACTTAAGAACTTGCTATGAAAGATAAATAATATGTAACAGTTTTTTAAAGCAACAAGGGCAAACTTTAAGTAAGCTCTAGACAATTATTTGTTCAATGCTTCTGGGCGAGAATTCTAATAATTGAACGCTGTGATTAACAACATTACAATATACTCACCAAGGATTTTGTTGCCATTGAATAAATTATCGAATTGGAATTTCGCATTGGTCTTGACATCGTACGCATGTTTCCATTTATTGATATGCCAATGCGGTTTCCCGTCATCTCCTTGCACCGTTGTCAGATCAATAGTTGTTTTAATAACAATATCCTCTAAAAGTTTCAAAATTGAATACCATTATCAGAGGGGCTAATTGTAATAATTCTATTGCACAAGGTCTTCAGTATACTCATAAATCTATAGGTACTTATAAATTCATTTGCACTGACTGTCAATTCACAGCCAAAACTTGTAACTCCCTTATTCATAAATACTATAACTTATATTATATAACGTATATTAATCTATTTTAACTATTATACTGTTTTGTCACTTTCTTTCAAATTGGGAATTTAGTATGAAAGAAAGATACAGAACATTTCAATAGCTAAAGTAGCTTTAACAATTTTATGAATTAGGGGTTAGTCTAGAAAACTGAATTTTAGACCATCATCATCGTCATCTCCCCAGTCATTATCTGTTCACTGCTGAACATAAGACTCCCCATAGACTGCCATAAGAAACGGTTCTGATTCACCTGCATCCACTGACTTCTCACTGAAGTTTAGAACATATTAGGATTATTTGAAAATTTCATTTTGAAGGAGAAACATGACACCACGTTTGCGAAGTCGCGTGCAACAGATAGTTAAATATTACAGTATACGATGCTACCAATATATTTGCCTAGGAGCTTGCATCTTATCAATAAGATATTAGCAATACTTACGGACTGTCATAACACATTTACCCTCCCCTTTGACCGGTAACACTATCATCTGTCCGTCCATCTTGTAGTTACCTCGCCATTCTGTACTGCATCGCATAATTACGACTTGCTTATTTTTGGTGAGGTCGTTTCTAAAAATTATTTAAATAATTCTTTAGGTATTCACAGGTAGTTTATGGAAATAGGCATTAAATATTATAGTAAGATTCCGAAGGATATTTTTGATCTGCTTTTTAATAAGTTTAAAACTGCTATTAAAAAAACACTTATTGAATAAAGCTTATTTATTACACACTAAACGAATACTTGAATGACAAATGTGTGTGGTATTAGTCGATCACGCACGAGTTTTTAACGACCATGTAGTTTTACACATAGCACATACAAATAAATACACATAATGTTAACAGAGATTTAAAAGAGTAACTGTTGAGTTTCTTACGAGCTCTTCTCAGCAGATAACAACTTTTTGAAACCTGCAGTAGATTAAAAAAAATAGACAATTTAAAAGTGCTTGTAAACAAGTCAAGTATATGGATAAAGATGATTTGAATTTGACTTAAGTGAGCCATGAAGATGCTAGTGTTACAAACTTATATTAAAAAACTCTGTTTGAAAATAATGCTACTTTTAAGGAGATACTTTAAAATATAGCTGGAGAGTTTTTATGAGATTAACAATAATGTCAAATAAAGTACCGGACTACTCGATAAAAAAAAGGAAACCTATAGACATGAACAGTATCATGGATATCACTGATGTTATTTGGTAATCACAGTACCTCTCATGCGTAGCTTTTTTTTTATTGGATGAAAATGAAATGGTAACCCTGCCTACGCTAACGGGATACACTGGCGGGGCACCAGTGAAGGGTGATCGATGAGGATAAAAACAGGCCAGTTAGCCTATCAAGATGAATTCATCAGGAATTAATCATGATAGTTTCCAGGAGACCTGGTTAAGTATATTGCTAACAATGGGATTCTCAGTCTCCATTACTAACAATCCCTTTCCCCCCTCTCATGCGTAACTGTTCCTGAGGACTAAGCTACCTATGTACCCTGTAATTTTACTATCGCATCCCACTCTTTAAACAGAAACACATTCAGTATAGCTGATTATTAACGATGAAATCCTATCTAATTGGTTGTTAATTAAGATATGGCAGTGAATGTACAGGGTACAGAGAAATAACACCTGAGTCTTCAGTAATGGCAACGCATTGGGGTATCATGGGCGAAGCAGTAAACTCTGTTATGTCCATGGTACTGCTCATGTTTATAGGCGAAAAAAAAAAAAAGAAAAAGTCGTACAAAATCCGAAACTGGTTAATTCAATTGTTGTTTGAAAAGAGCAAGAGTCAAGTTTCTTGTCTGTTCTTGTTAATTGAAACTGCTTACCGAAGTGGGAGGTACATTATTAAAATCACGTGTCATAAGTCGAAGTGGGAGGTATGTACATTAGAAAAATCACGTGCCATAAGTCTAAAGTCTACCACATTACCGGTATTCTGTATAATTCAGGTATTTTGTATTGGTATGGGTATAGAATGGAACTAATCCGATATCTATATATTGGGTTTCTTGCGATACTGATAACGGAAAAAAGGAGGTATCTTTAACGATATCGCTCATAGTAGTTGGACATCAATATTAAATCAATTAATTACGGGTTCATTATTCCAATGTTACGTATTGAATAACCGACATTTAATACAATCGTTATTAGACTTATATATAGATATTTTAATTGCAATATACACATATTAGCAAATATATGTCATTATCATATACAATACATTATTATTAATTAGTCCAACAATGGATGGGATGAGTAATACCCACCTATAATTCTGTACAAATACCTTGGCAATGTATAGAACACCTAAATCATTTAAATCATATATAAAATATATATTTCATACTTTTCTTAGATATTTTATACAATATCGAATATGCAGCCGCTAATGTGTGTAAAAAAAGTTTTTTTTTTAATTTTTATTTCGAAAATATGCTTGTTTACATTGACAGACTCACTTGAGAGACTCAATCTTGCACCCCTTCAATCCAGTCACAACATTGTCAGAAAATGTGACTTCCAGGCCTGCTGTATTACTTTTTACAACGGGAATCTTCATCGGGTCCAGGGACCTGACTCCCAGTTCAGGTATACCAGCGGCCACTATCGGCACGGCCGCTTGCGCAGACGCAATCAAACAATCAGTGTCAGAGCTCTTACATGGTTTTATGAACGGCGCTGAAACATTATTTATTTTATTTATAATTGGGACACTTGATACGACACGACGAACTTATGAACATTATAATAGAAAGTAAGATAGAAGGAGGGAGGGGAAAAGGGAGACCGAGAGTTACATCAGGCAGATCAAGGAAGGTGTTGGTGTCGTGTCGTATCAAGAGGTGAAGAGACTCGCTGGAAATCGTAGTGAGTGGCAAGAGCTCCACCGATAAGAGCGCAGCTCTTAAATAGGATAGATAGATAGATAATTAACGTACACACTTCTTTTCATTTAAGAGTTTCCTCTTGTCGGTGCAATTAATTCATGCATTTTCTTGGAATAGTCCAGGCCATATCTTTGACCTCTCTATACGACATGACATCTAAGGTTTCCTTTATTTATTTTCTTAATTCATTCTTTTTTGCACAATAAAACTTTGCACAAGTGGCGAGCTTAATGCCATATGGCGTTCTGTACCAGCTAATCATTAGAAACAGAAAGCGTATGAAGGGCAGATGTTGTGAAAAATATATGCTATATTTATAGGAACATAATGAAATAATTATACAAAATACATAAGTAGGAGACTATCGACTAAACCATCTTTCAAAAAAAACGTTCACGCGCACTTTTTTACTTTATCCGAGCAGTAAGTACTTTATATTATTCTCAATTTCGTGTATAATATAGTATATGTCATATATGTGTAAGTATTATATATTTGTTATTTATATATATTTATTCGTTTATATATGTAATTTTAGTATGTATGTATATCAATAATTACTAGTACCGCATTCGAGTATTCTGACACTTCCCTATGGTTGACTGGGAGAGAATGCTTTTAGCATTAAGTTCGCCATGTACACATATTTGTACTAATGAATAAACAAATAAATAAAATAAGTAATACGCATATAATACATAAACATTTATCTTTATCTGTCCCATGTAGTTATTCCTCGGTATTCCCCTTCCTCTTTTGCCTTCTATGTTTCCTTCTACTATGCTCTTTAAAAATCATCATGTCGTATAAAGTGGCCTAGAATTTTGCCTCTTCTGCTGTACACACTGATTATACATAATAATATGACAGAGATATGTAAATGTACAAAGGAAAGCTTTTGCTTTAAAATAATTAATTTGATCTATATTAATGTTATAAAAGAAGAAAGATTAGATTTTTACAACCGACTTCGAAAATAAGGAGATTTCAACTCAGTTATATTTTTTGTGTTTATATTACCTCTTAACTCAGGCAAACATTTAATAAAGTTAGTGCAAGAATTTAGTTTTTAAAACAAAATAACTGGCAAAATCGGTAATATATAGCTAATATATAGCCCAATAGATAAATAATTAGTATTATATAAACTTGCATAATTCGGTTTAATTATATATATATATTCCATTCGTGTTTCAACCGTGAAGCAGTTGTGTTTGCATGGCTGTGTTTCGGTTTGAAGGCTGGGATATGGCGTGAATTTACTGGGTACAGAGGAATAACATCTGAGTCCTCAGGAATAGCAATGCATGGGGGGTATCATGGGCGAAACAGTATACTCTGTTATGTCCACGGTACTGCTCATGTCAATAGGCGACGGTTACCACTTGTAATCAGGTGGGCCGTCAGCTTGTTTGCCATTCTAAGTTGTATAAAAAAAAATTGTATTTCATGAAGTCCGCAAACTCACCTGAAGCACAATTAACACTATATACGACTGCCAAAAACCAAATAAATGGCAACATTTTCAAATTAATATGTAAATCAAATATTAATACTAAAATAGGCCCTAAACGTAAATAGTTAATGCACGAAGTAGAGGTATTTCGGGCGTTTATATATGTAGTAAATGTGTGACGTCGGAGCCGTCATACCTATTCATATATATTATAATCGTACATAATATATTTTACATAATTTGACACTAGAAAGATTTGTTGTACCATTAAAATTGCGACAAAACAATGGTGTAGGTACTCAAGTCGTTGAAATTAGAAAACAAAAAAACTGCATCGAAATATGGTGTTGTAAGATTATAAAAATTAAATACTATATTAAAATATGCTTAATTTTTTATATAACAGTATTATTATTATTATTTATTCTTTATTGTACACAAAAAAAATTACAACATATAATATATATAAAATAAAGATGTACAACAGGCGAGCTTAACTCTGTAAGAGTTCTCTTCCAGCAAACACTGAGTGGAAAGGAGCATTAATTACTATATAGTATATTTATTTTTCTAATATAATAAAACTGTATCTAGTCGATATTTGTACATGGGATATGCCATCCCCCTATGCCATCCATCATTAATTGATTACTGTTAAACATAAAAGGAAATAATTTTTTTTTTTATTCGAATAAACTTAAATTTAAGGATAAACTGAAGTGGCAATGGACTGGTCAAGTAGCTTGAAGAACCGACAACCGATAAGGAAAAAAGGTTCTTGAGTGGCGATCGCGTACGGGTAAACGCAGTGTAGGATGACCTCCACTAAATGGAGTGACGACCTGAAATGCATTGCAGGGAGTCAGTGGATGCAGGTGGCTCAGGACCATTCTTTATGGCAGTCTAAGGGGGAGGTAAGCCTCCATAAGTGTCCAGCAGTGGACGGAGAATGGCTGAAATAATGATGATGAAACTTATATTTAAGCATTTTTGCATAGTCATTTTTTCATTACCGCCTATTCGGAACGCAATTTCAGCCAAGAAAAACGGACAAGAAACTCACCTGTTGCTTTTTTCGAAATGTTTAATTATATAAATAATAAATTTGTGTGAGTACAAACTACTTTTTAATGCATAATTTAAACATAAATATAAGCAATCTGCACTACTTTTTTATATAAACTATAAGTGTGCCAAGTTTCATACTTTTAAAATTTTGATTTTAAGATTAATACTAAATTACTACATAGATACTTTTTCTAACTTTCCCAATTCCGTATAATTTATTTGTTACCGAGACTGCAAGTACGTAGACAATTTATATTTAAGTAATAATTTAAAATACTTTATTTGGAAGTACTAAATTTACAGGGTACAGAGGAATAACACCTGAGTCCTCAGGAATGGCAACGCATGGGGGGTATCATGGGCGAAACAGTATACTCTGTTATGTCCATGGTACTGCTCATGTCTATAGGCGACGGTTACCACTTTACATCAGGTGGGCCGTCAGCTTGTTTGCCATTCTAAGTTGTATAAAAAAAAACATCTCTATAATCATCATCATCATATCAGCCTTTAACTGTCCACTGCTGAACATAAGCCTGCCCCTTGGGAGTATTTTGCCAGAAGTTGCCACGCTTGGCAAGCGAATTGACAACCGCAGTTACACTTTGGAGATGTTTTAAGAGGGACGCTGCTGCAATACCTCGCCCTCCCTTAATCGCCTCTTACGACACGTACAGGTAAGGGAGGGGGGGCCTATTCTATGCCAAAACCACACGGGCATATATCTCTATAATTGTATATTATTACAAGAAGAATGGATTCACAAAAGGTTATCATACCCACATTTAACATAGTACAACATTGTCCGCGAAACCAAGTGATGGGTTTATTTATATATATATATATATATATATATATATATGGTATGGTAAGCCCGCCTGCGCTAACGGGATACGCTGGTGGAGCACCAGTGAAGGGTGGTAGATGAGAATGAAAACAGGCCAGTTAGCTCATCATGATTAATTCATCAGTAATTAACCACGATAGTTTCCAGGGGGAACCGCGAGGAGGTCGACCTGGTTGGGTATATTGCTAGCAATAGGATTGTTAGTCTCCATCACTAACAATCCCTTTCCCCCTGTTACTTATAGTTGACTGTAATATTTATGTACTTAATTTAATTTATATTTTCATGTATTGTATGAATTTTATTGTATTTACTACCAGAGGGAGACTTTGTACAAAAGTCGATTGCTTGGGTACCTCTGTCCCATTCGTGTTTCAACCGTGAAGCAGTTGTGTCTGCATGGCTGTGTTTCGGTTTGAAGGGTGGGATATGGCGTGAATTTACTGGGTACAGAGAAATAACACCTGAGTCCTCAGGAATGGCAACGCATAGGGGGTATCATGGGCGAAACAGTATACTCTGTTATGTCCATGGTACTGCTCATGTCTATAGGCGACGGTTACCACTTTCAATCAGGTGGGCCGTCAGCTTGTTTGCCATTATAAGTTGTATAAAACAAAAACAAAACACACTCAAATACAAATTATTGTTTATGAAACGAATAAAAAAAAATATTAGAATATAAAAAATTAGAACTCAACGAGTAACAAGTGGTTAGACATTAACCTTCTTAAAACGATGTACGTCACTGCAGTAGGAGTGTAGGCACGTAGCAATGACAATAAATTATACAATACGTTTAAAAAATGTATATTTTTTAATGAGTTCCAACAAACTCGGTATTTACCGCCCTTGACATTCGTTATAAGACATCGAATATGAATAACCTACACGTATACGTAGAGGTTATTCACTAAGAACAAGGAATTACATAGAAGGAGTGATAAAATTGTCAATTCATAGCAGGCTGGTGTATAGAAAATGTTATACGGCCGTATAACCCTACCAAATTCAGATACAACCTGCTTGCGTATTTTCTACATAAACTGTGTCGAATATATAATCTAGTAATGTAAAATTTGTCATTGACAAATAATTGACATATCAAACATTTTCGATACACTAACCTGCTACGAATTCAGAAAAATAGCAACTGATGGTGTGTCTTTCGTCCACTTTTTACTAATTATATTTGCATAAGAAGAAAGGAGGCAACCATATGATTTACAGTTTTTATTTTATCATTTCTTCTATGCAATTCCTTGTTCTTAGGTTATTCAGCCTTTACGTAGTCGTAGACTTCCCAAAAAGAGCAGATTCTCAATTGTTCTGTATTTTTTTATATGCGTTCACGTCGTCAATTCTGCATCGATTTTGATGATTCTTTTCGCAGTGTACGAGTATATTGATAGTGATATTTAGTTTTTTTTCTTTAATATTTTTAAGCGAGATTCAAAAGAACAGGATTCCCAATTTATCTGTACTTTTGTGGCTATATTATAAAAGTCGTCAATTCTGAACCGATTTTGGTAAGTCTTTTTGCAATCTATGTGTTCTCGTTGTTCGTCCAACATCTCCTTTCGATCATTGCTCGATACAACTCTTTCGTAATTCTTCTTTCATCCATTCTCTGCAAATGGCCAAACCAACGAAATATTCCCTTTTCGATTTTTGTCACTACATCGTCTTTCAGTCTACACTTCTCTCTTCTGGTGCAAATAAAGAGTTAAATAAATTTAACATCTCGTGATTCATTGATAGGTTTTACCAATTTTAAAATTTACAACAATAATAATAATTCATATTTTTTGTCACTGTTTTTTTTATTCACGGTGGAAAGTCTACTTACTTGTTACTATTGTAATTAGTAATAAAAAACCTAGATGTGTTTTTTTTTTCAAGAAACACAATAGCGGTGACATATTTTATGGTTTTCCCATTTTGTTTTTATGGTGTGGTACAAACTATTATTGGCAAACGCAAAAGGAAGATCAGGAACATAAATCATACTTTGCTATTTATAAAATGTCATCTTATATAACTTAGGTATATTTATCCCATTTTAGTTTATACCATGATCTAGCTGTAATTGTATAATTGTATTTCTTTTTGGTATATTCAATTAGTGTATTCTGTGATGTGATGATAATATTGGACCGTTATCCGTTGGTACTTCACTGACATGCACCGACAGTATAGACAGAGTTACCATTCCATTTCCATCCCTTAAAATATGTATCTAATATTGGAAACATTTCAATGACAATATCCGTTATCCGTTGGTACTTCACTGACATGCACCGACAGTATAGACAGAGTTACCATTCCATTTCCATCCCTTAAAATATGTATCTAATATTGGAAACATTTCAATGACAATATCCGTTATCCGTTGGTACTTCACTGACATGTACCGATAGTATAGATAGAGTCACCATTCCATTTCCATCCCTTAAAATAAGTATCTAATATTGGAAAAATTCTAATGACCTTCAAAGCCCGACTGTTATTATTACCAATACAAAGTTTGAGCCAATTAGCAAGGGAACTTTTTAAATTGCCTCGGGACAGAGTGTTCTTTGTTATGACGCCGCTTACTTTGTGGATTGACCAATTACTGTAATGAACTAGTACATTATTATATTTCGCTTTATTATTATAACAATTAATTAATAAATAACAATAACATTAAGACTATGTTGAATGCAATTTAGAAAAAAATAAATAAATGGGAATTAAATATGTATTAAAATGAAGTACCTGCTGTGGTATAATAATTTAAGATTATGTTCCGAAAATAATCTACTTCATTTGTGGCAAAACCAGTATTTTTTTTTAATTAAAAAACTATTTAAAAATTTTGAGATTCCTATAAAAAATACAATAATGCAACCCAAAGTTTAAAAAATTTGCCTACTAATGCTAATATAAAATCTATCTTTCTATCTATCTACTCGTGCGAAACCGGGGCGGATAAGTAGTACTTAATATATTGACAAATGTGAGCGATGCCACGGGATACAGCTAGGCGATAATAAATAGTTGTACAGGCAGAACAAAAAGTAAGCAAAGCAATAAACTGAGATAGATAGATACTCTTTATTGTTTCCTCCAAAAGATTACAATAGTAAACTTATTATAGATACAAACAATTACAAGAAATAATCACAATGAGAAAACAATGGGCGATCTTATCGCTAAGAGCGATCTCTTCCAGGCAACTTTTGGATGGAGAGGAGTAATTTGTGTTGTGTTG